GTTTGAATCTCTGCTCTGCTACTTGGCAGTTTTTGTTTTTTAAAGATTTTATTTTTCTGGCAGAGAGAGAGAGAGAGAGAGCAAGCACATAAGCAGGGAAGAGAAGGCTCCCCACTGAGCAAGGAGCCTGATGCAGGACTCGATCCCAGGACCCTGGGATCATGACCTGAGCTGAAGGCAGATATTTAACCCACTGAGCCACCCAGACATTCCTGCTGCTTAGCAGTTTTGTGAGCTCAGGTAGTTTTTAAATCTTGTTGAGCTTCATCTCGAAATGGGTATCCCAATAACTAACTCAAAAGTTTACTGTGAAAATTCAGTGAGAATATAGGTGAATACTAACACAGTATTAGTTACCCAACCAATATTCATTTTCCTTACCTTTGCCTCAATTTCTTGAAGTAGATAGACTAAGCCAACAGACTTGAATGGGGAAAACACCTAAAACTAGTGATTTAATTTTGTTTTAAAACACAGGGCCACATTTCAAAAGACATGTGATTTTAATATGAGATGCTAATATATAAAAGCAGATCAAAATTTGGCTGAAGCAAGAGTGGAGAGCTTTCCCTCATCAACTCTGAATTCCTGAGCCTCATGGTAAGCCCCAGAGTGGCTACCAACCAAACTTCTAGAACTAACAGGAACGAAAGATGTGGGAAAAGTACTGAGCTAGCAGGCTGTTCCCAGGGGGTGACGTTGGAAAACTGTGGTCAAAATGTGAACGATGATATTACATTGTTTCTGTGTCCAAATGACCTGTGTTGAACACTTCTAGGAAAGTGTATGGAACACTTCTAGGGAAGTTTCCTGGAAAACAGGCAACTTCCTTAATAGATAGCTGGAGGAGCATCTGGGAAGGGGTTCTTGGCATACTTGGAGCAGAAGCAATGTGACTTCTAGGAAAGAAAACCACCAGGCCTGGCTCATCGTTAAGAGTTCTTTGAAGGTTCTGGATGCCTGTGCACCAGGGCAGACTAATGAATTTATTTAAGTTAAAAGCAAGAAAAGTTTTGACAAATTTTCACACCGATGGCTGTTAAAAGAGAGAGAGAGAGAGAGAGATATTACGAATGTATTGCCCTTACCAGAGAGGACAGGCCCAAAGAGAGAACAAAAAGAGAAACAGATGACACCAGTCTACCTACAGAATATAAACCAGGGTGTTCTCTAAGGCCTTGACTGGGATACAGTGCCCAGCTGTTTGGTCAAATACCAGTCTAGACACAGCTGTGAAGATATTTTAACAGATGTGATTGACATCTAAATCAATAGGCTTTGAGGAAAGCCAATTAATCTCCACAACATGGATGGGCCTCTTCCAGTCAGTTGAGGGTTTTAAGAGCAAAGACTGATTTCCGGAGGAAGAAGGAGTTCTGCCCCCAAACTGCAGAACAGAAAGCTCGTCTGCAGATTTCAGACTCAAGATTGCGGTATCAACTACTTTCCTGAATTTGCAGCCCTACAGATTTCGGGCTTGTGAGGCCCTGCAACCACGTGAGCCATTTCCTTAAAACAATTGTCTCTTCATTTGGCTAAAGATGTAGAGGCTTTGTAGTCAGTCCTCTCATTGTGCAAATGAGGAAACTGAGGCTCCTGGAGGGGAAGTGACTTGCTCAAGATCACAGATGTGTTGTTTGCAGAGTCAAGATTCAAGTCCTGATCTCCTGACTCTTAACAGACTTTTATTGAGTTTGTCACTAATCATTCTTCTTTTTTTAGGTAGACACCACCTCCCTTTATGTTTCTTTAAAGTTGAGAGACAGTCCCATGCCCTACCCTGCTCTTTTATAGATTAAGCCATGAAGGGAGCCATATAAACAAAGCTGGCAAGGAGAGAGCCTTCTGTCTTTGCCCTCCATTCAGTCTTCCTCACTCTGTACCCTATTTTCTGAAATCCACAAGAGAATCATTCCTTTGCTCCTGATTGGAATGCACATCCATATAAAAGAGGCACGGTGAGTCTTATGAGTCATCAATGTCAATTCCTCGTTGTGAATGATTTTATCAAAACCCTTCCTTATATTTCCAAAGGGAGAGCAAAGACACATGAGGGAGAAAGAGACTCAAGGAGTGTAGAGTCTCAGTGGACTAACCTAACTCATGATCTTGGGTCTTGGGTCTGTCTTTTGTGGGTAGAGACTGAGTCTTGACAATATGATGTGCTTTCCCTCCTACCTTCCCTTGTAGCCTCCAGAATGTATCGTCTCTTTCAAATATGGAGTCTATGGAAACTTTCCCATGTTATTCCAAAGTAGCACTTCCCACAGAGGTATTAGGTTTCTTTTTTAACTTGGAAGGGATAGCAAAAAAGCAAATGGGGTAAGGAGAATTTTAAAAGGTGGGATTGGTAGAGGACAGAGAGCCAAGTAGCGACTGTCCACTTCAAAAATGTTATCACCCCTGACTGAAAGTATGTGGCTTGCCTTAAAATGTTTTCCACATTCAAGAATAGCCTCTGTGAGCCCCACCCTGTGGAAAAATGCCCAGTGGCCTGGCACCATGATGATATACTAAATTGCTCAATGTCCCAGAAGCGCCTTTGCTCTAAGGAATGCAAACGTTTGAAAAGGCTAGAGTTTTCTTTTTTTTCTTGTGCCCTTTCAGTTTGTTTTCTTATAAAAATTACTCATATCCATAATGTTGATGTTTCCAGACACATTGAATAAGTCTAAAAACCATTGCTCACTAAATAAACTACTTTCAAAGTAGAAGAAAAAGAAGTGAGACTCTCCCACCAAGCATGAGATCATTTTTTCAAGTTCATTACCTCTTTTCCTCACTCAAGCTTGTTGGACCAAAGAACACGCAAACCACACCTTAACCTCTAGCTCACGCTAGAGAAATTTGGATTAACAAAAGAAAAAGAAATAGAGAAATAGGAGAGGAAGAAATAAGAAACACGCTGTGCTGTTGCCTCACCCCTGACCTTGAAACCCAGGACAAGAGTAGACAGTTGTATGACTTAGAGGGGAGAAGAAAGATGGGTGTGGGGATTTTAGATCAGAACAATTGCTGGTCTGCTTAAGTTTAGGGTAGGATGAGTCCCTGGGAATGATGAAAAGAGGTGCTCATTCCCATGGCCATGACACGTAGGGATCACAACATCCATTGGTTTTTCTTCCATTAAAGCTCTAAACCTGTTCTCACTAATATGGTAACTGGAAGCCCCATGTAGCTATCTTCATTCAAACTAGCTCAATTAAATAAAATTGAAATTCAATTCTTTAGTTGTACTAGCCCCATTTTAAGTGCTCAGCAGCCACATGTAGTTATTGACTGTCTTATAGAATTTCCATCATCACAGAGTTCTATTGGATAGCACTCCTCTGGACTCCTGATGCTTGTCACGCTGACCTTAGAGTCATTCAATCACCTGAAGTCAGGACTAAGATGGAAGCAATGGCTCAGGCATTCTCAGCCAAGTGAGGACCCTAAGTATGGGCCATGCCAGCGGGAGCCAAACCCCAGGGCAAGAATGCTATGGAGACTCCTAGGAGGTAAGATTAGAGCACCTCTTCATGAATTTGGTCTTTGCCCCAGTTAGGGAACATCAGGGGTGTGGGCAGCATGCATGAGCTTATCAGTGTTTGCTCTTAGCAAGAATGCAAAGCAGGAGAGGTCAAAAAGAAATTCTGAGATTTCATTTGTTTTTCTTAACTAAATGGTATGTAAATTCCCCTTTGGATTTACAAGTCTTTATTCTTCCCAGGTAATTAAAAAAAAAAAAGTAAGTGAGTTGATTTTTAAGCCTATTGTAGCTGAAAGGAAAAAAGACTGTTGCAGTAAAAAGCAAAATGAGAAAACTTTCTCCTTGTTGAGAAGAGCTAATCAAAAGGAAAACCATTTCTTTACAAGATTTGAAAACTATTTAAATATATAAAAATACATATATATATCAAGAAACAGTCAACTAACTTTGTCTTTAATTTAAAAAAGACATTGAAATTAATGAAATTCAAAATGTGTTCAAAATCTTTCAAACTAATTACAAGTGGGGTTTTAAACTTACATAAAATAATACTAGCATTATTTGAAATTTAATTCATATTACATGTAGAAATGTTGTTAGAACAAAAAATATATTTAGGACCTGTGGATCCTGTAGATCAACTAATTGGTGAAGAGTAAAAATAAATTATGTAAAAATAACATTGCATAGATAAAGCTAATTTGTTGACTTATTTCAACTGACACATTTGCTAAGCAGAACTGTTTGCAGAGAAGAAACATGAGTAAATTGCCTTACAAATCCCATTCTGAATAGGCCGGATCAAATGATTTCTGACAAGACTACCAGGGAAGTTTCTCCCTACTACATTATTAAGAAAGAACATGGCCCATTTCCTTAAATTTTCTTTCTTTCTTTTTTTCTTTTTTTAAGATTTACTTATTTATTTATTTGACAGAAAGAGAGAGAGGAGAGAGAGAGATCACAAGTAGGCAGAGAGGCAGGCAGAGAGAGAGGAGGAAGCAGTCTCCCTGCCTAGCAGAGAGCCCGATGCGCGGCTCGATCTCAGGACCCTGAGATCATGACCTGAGCTGAAAGCAGAGGCTTTAACCCACTGAGCTACCCAGGTGCTCCTCCTCAAATTTTCTTTTTGGTTCTCTGACTTTACCAGGAAATTGGGGTCCACAGGGGTCTGTCTGAAATTTTAATCAGGAGATAAAATTTTTCCCAGGGTTCTTGGATTTGTCTTGGTCTTTCCGTCAGGAAATTGGAGGTTGAAATCAGGGTAGGTGAATAATACTCCCAGAATTTTAACCTCAGTTCTGAGAACTGAACAATATCAAATGATTTAAGAAAGCAATTTGTACCATTTAAAGTAAAAGAGAACAAAGTTGTTATAGTAGTCTTATTATAAAAAATGACAGATCTATTCATGGGGAAATTATCGTTTTCCCCTTGCCCTTTCAGACCCCAGCTCGCCTCCCAGGAAGGCAACCCAACCAATGAGCGTGCAGTTGGCTTCCCAGCAGAGTGAGATCAGTCTACTTACCTTGCCCTCTCTTCCTTCTCCTCCTCCTTGTGCTGTGCCGGCCCACTCTGCAAGCTGTTCTGGCCTGAGGTGCTTTTCTACCCAGCACCAATTCTTTGAGCCTCCTGGACCAGGAGCAGTGGTCTGTGATTGGGAGGAGGCATCTCACATGGGCTGAGCCTGATGCTGTCTGAGCTTGCCTCGCCGAGGCTGGAAGTAACAGGAAGTTTTTGGACCGTAGATTTCTGCTACTTTGGAATGTACGATTCTGACAGATGGAAGCACCTTGACAGGGCTTAGCTCTTCGCTCCTCTGGATTTCTTCTAGTTCTGGGCTTTTCTGGAACTCATACTACTCAAGGGCTTTTGTTTTTGTTTTGATTTAAATTTTTTTTTTTAATATTTGATCCTTATTTCTGCTTTTGTGCCCTCAAAGGCCTATTTGTCGTCCTGACCACTCATAGTCATGCTGGTGCATGTCTATCTGTCCAAGGCCATGTCTGGTTTCAGTTTTTATAACTTGCATTTGTTACATTTAGGGGGAGAGTGATTGCCCAATTAATATTAAATTTAATATCCTCCTCTCCCCTCCCCTCTCTCCTCTCCCTCCCCTCCCCTCCCCTTCTCTTCCCCTGGAGCCACTGAGTGTCATACCCAGCACCAAGAACATTTCTGCTGACATCTGCATAACATATCATGGTTCAGGCACACAGTAGTTATTTAGCCTGCAGTTAAGGATGGGTGATGGCAGTAATGTTAGAATTTGTTGAGTGCTTTCATCAGTAGACTCAGGAGTTCTCTTGGGTCTGGGTCATCTCTATAACAGGTTAGGTTCTTCAGGAAGCAGACTCTGAGAACAAGTTTGTGTGCAATATATTTATTAGAGAATGCCCTTACGATTAATGCCTTTGGAAGGAGAGGGAAGAAATAGGATTGGGCAGACAGAGAAGACAAACTGCCACGCAGGTGGGAAGTCTCAGGCACCCCCCTCCCTCCATCCGGAAAGCTCCAGAAGAAGATGGCCTGCCCAAGTTGTTCTGCATTGGGCCCCTCTGTGAAGAGTCCTAGGTATAGGTGCCCTGGGAAGGGGGCTTTCAGGAGCTGAGACTATCCCTGAAGGGAGCTGACAGTGGAGGCTGGGCTTGCCAGTACTCCCAACAGCTGGGCAGTACACTCCCCCTTGCTGACGGGGCCCTGCACGGGGTATCTGTGTGTCCTCTCATGGCCTTATTCCTCCTCAGCTCTCTAGGGCCTGGTTAGATATGGCACGATCATTCACACAGTGCAATTCTATGCAACTGTGAAAAATGATGCCATAGAAAAAATTTAATGATGTGGAAATATGTTCACTCATTTATTCAACAAATATTTATTGAGAACTCATGATGTGCCAAGCACTCTTATAAATGCTAACAATAAAAATAACAGGTTATAAACAGTTTGTACAATTTGATGTATGTATATGTGTGTGTATATAATATACACATATTCATATACATATATGAATTTAAAAATTAGAACGTAAAGTAAATATCAACAGGGTTATATCTGGGTGATGTGATCTGCATGGCTTTTATTTTCTTCTTTTTTTTTTTCATAGTTTCTATGCCTACAAAGGATCTCTATTACAATTACAGAGAGAGAAACATGTAAATTATTAAAAGTGTGCTCTTTTAGAAATCTTTGTGATAAAGAAGCAAGGAAGCAAACAAGGACATATGTTTCCATTCATATCCTAGGCATTTTATGTTCTGTTACTAGGATTATGTGGGGAGAGAATAAACATGAATCTTCTCAAAATAGATAATGTGTACACAAAAGCCCGTAACAAAAAACAAAAGACTAGCTAGGAAAAGGAAGATTACTTTCCAGACAGTAATTGCCACTCATCCACCATCAGTACCTCTCAGGCATCTGGAGGTAAAGAGGTAAAGAGTATGTCTGTCCTTCCCCAACTCGCTGTCCCATGGTGCCATCACCCTCCAGTGCTTTTTCCTTTTCTGTGGTCATTCCAAGGCAAGTTAACAAACTTGGTGGCTGGATGTCTCCTGAGCTACACGATGTTTGTCCTCTGTGCTCGCTCAAGCTTTCCAACCACCATGGGGCTTCTCTCTTTCATCGTTGGGACAGGGGACCACTGGACTAGTTCTCTTCAGAATCACTCCTTTCCCTAAACAGACCCCTCACTTTGTTTTGGGGGAAGGAGGGAGTTGCGGTGTCAGCTGGGTGGGAAAGCAATGGCCCCCTCAGGAAGTTCTGAGTTAGGAATGCGAGTTATTTAAAGACTTTTGCTCTACTCATCAGTTTCATGGAAAAAGTTTTCTCAAACATGACTTTATCTGCCATATTTTCAGTTCTTCTGAAAGTCCCAGGCACTATAAGACTTACCCTTCATAGTGGCCCTGTGAAATATATACTATTACGACCCCCCATTTTATAGATGAGGGCAGGGGGGTTTGAGGAGGTTATCTGGCCCAGGATTCCAGAGCTATTGAGGGGTGAAGACTCCTCTTGGTCTGTCTTCTTAGTCTGCACTCTTAATTACTAGGCTATACTGTTTGAGTGTAGTTAGACAATTGGATAACTTTGAAAATGACATTAAAATCTTAAGTTATTAATGTGATCTTCTCCCTATTAACTAGTTAGTGAGGTGAATAGAGAGTAGAATATTGTTCGTGGGATATGTGAGAAGACATTGTCTATAAAACTGGCTCACAAGTAAGTCTGCCAGAGTACACCAGCTCCTTGGGGGAGTGGAGGTCACGAATCAGAGCTCAGCTTCTGCATTGGAAATAACTGAGCGAAACCTGCAGACTATGTGCACAAATTGCCTAGATCTGCCAATTCTCTAGTGCCTCTGAAGACTGCTTTTTCTCTACCAGGTCTTGAGTCTCTCTGCAAATTTTACTGAAATATACGAATCCAGGCTCTTTGGCCTTTAATGGGTCCTCTGACTCAGCCCTCCTCTTGCTCAACATTGACATTCCCATATTCTCGTCAACTCCTGTAGATGATAAATGCTTAACTCAGTTCATATTTTAGACTATGGCCACCACAAGACAACTTCTTAAAGCAAACCTAGCCCTCTCCCAGGAAAGGGGCATCCCATTATTAATAGACTCTCATAATTGGACGGGACATTAGCTCATTTCAATAACCAGTTATGGTTATTATATGGAATGATGACATGGAATAACTATATTCCAATAAAATAACCAGTTAGCCCAATTTTTCACCCAATGAAGAAATGCCTCTGTAACATCTCTGGTAGCCAATATTAAGGGGCAAGTCTATGAAGCCTGTTGTGTTTACTGCAGAGATTTTGTTCAGGATGTTGTACCCAATTACCCATGTTGGGTCTAAGAGTTCTAAATATTCCCTTTGGTCTCAGCATCTGGGATGATTATATTTTTCCTAGTCAACCAGTTTGTTTTATAACTATTTTTAAACCATTTTAAACTACTGAACACTGTAAATCTTCAATCAAATTCCATCTCACCCCCACTCTTACCATTTTTCCATTGAAGCTGCTTGTCAAGTTACAAACAACCTCTATTTGGCCAATTCCGGTACACACTTCTTTGTCTTCCTCTGATTTGGTCACTTAGCTACAACTAGAATAGCTGATGACTCCATTCTTCTCACACTACTCTCCTCTTCTGGCTTCCATGATACCGCATTTTCCAATGCTTCCCCTAGTTCTCTGCTTGCTTCTTCCCATTCTCCATTGTTGTCTCCTCTTGGGCCTGACCAGTTGCATTAGAAAACTCAAGAACTGGATCCAGCTCTGGATTCTGAATCTGGCTCTGAAACCACCATCAGGGCTCAGCCCCTTCCTCCTTGCCTTTCACTCATTCCCACTCCTTCATGGTTAGAAAGTTCAACAGTGAAAAAAGAACCACATTGTTTAGATTTAAGGAAAATAGTAAGAATTCTAGGTCTTTGTCTTCTTACAAGTATAAGTGTGTTCCTCTGCTTTTCTCCTGGAAACTTCTTTTTCTTTCCTTAGCCCCCAGCTCTTGAAGAGCAGTGAATTAGGTTGTGGCTCTCTCTTTCTTTTTTTTAAGATTTTTTAAATTTATTTATAAGAGAGAGAGAGAGAGAGAGCGAGCACAGGCAGACAGAATGGCAGGCAGAGGCAGAGGGAGAAGCAGGCTCCCTGCCGAGCAAGGAGCCCGATGTGGGACTCAATCCCAGGACGCTGGGATCATGACCTGAGCCGAAGGCAGCTGCTTAACCAACTGAGCCACCCAGGCGTCCCAAGGTTGTGGCTTTCTTAATTTGATTTAGTAAGTATATATATTTCTGATTTTGTAAAGTTTTTGTTTATTTTATTAGATATCGGGGGCAGAACATTCTGTGATGCAGTGTAAAGCTATACTTTTAATCAGAAGTGTCCTGAGGACGTTTAAGAACGTAAATCAGCCTTTGTGATTCCCTCCTGAAAACCATCCAGTGGCTTCCTTTTGTGCTCAAGAGTAGGATCCAAGCCCCTCACCGTGGCTTATTAGTTGCTCATGTATTCACCAACTTCACTGAGCATGACTCTCATCCTGTATGTGCTCCAAATACATGACTTGCACACTTGCCATTCCGGTGAGTGGAAATCTGTTTCCTGCGGTGGTGCTGGGCTGCCTCCTTGTCCTTCCTAAAGGCCTTTCTGAGAGTGGCCTGCCCTCTCCACTCCAGTTGCTCTTGCTCATGTAAACATGGTTTATTTCCTTCGTAAAAATAATCAGGCTGGAATTACCTTGTTTATTTACTTGTTGCTTTTCTTCCTCTGCCTTCGCTGCCTCACTGAAACTAGAAGAGTTTAAAATGAATGAATGAGTTTCTGATTTGGAAGGTTTAGGGTGAATTAGATTTATTTGTCCTGGTGGAAAAAACCCCCCAAAACCAAAAACAAAACAAAACAAAAAACTCCCCAAAACCCCCACAACCATTGTATTAAATAATGCTTGAGAAGAGCCAAAACTGCGTGACCAAAGGGCCAGTTTTATGAAGGGATCTGTATTTCTTTATGTATTGCTCTAAATTATTCTCGACCTTTAAAATATTCATTATTCTACTCTGATAACAAAATGAATGTATGTGCATTGCAGAAAATAAAAATCACTATACTCCCTTATCCAGCGATAAACACAATATACATTTTGGTGTAGAATCATTCATTCAGGAACTATTTGAGGTAC